GAGAGCCAGGGCCCGCCCCTGAGGAGGGCGCTGCTGGGAAGCTGCAGCCTGGACCGAGCACACTGCTCCCGGACCTCAGAGAACCTGCAAAGGGGGTTGAAAAGCCCCGGGCGCGCACCCCTGCGGGAAGGCGCTAACAAGTGTCTCTAGCCTGTACTGTCTGGGTCAGCCCGCCAGGCGGTGGCAGAGCAGGGCTCAGCCACTGCGCCTCACACGGGTCCAAATGTGGGCCGCTCGCACTCGGACCGCGTGTGGCGCTGGAAGCACAGGGGGTGACCCGCGTGCCTAGAGCCTGGAGGATCCCAACTAGCGCCCTAGAGCCCAGGCCTCAAGTGGAAAGTGGTTTATAAGTGACAGGGGCACTAAATTTAGAAGTGATCGGCTAAATTTATCGTGGCAGCCGCTGGTGCTTTTCGTTGTAAAATTTCCAGTGGCTTACGTTGTTATCGTTAATGAGTAATTGATTAGCTCCAGTGCTGAATGACTTCATATTCTCGTTTATCATCTTAAAATCCCCTCCCCTACAAATGCCAGATGTTTAACATAGAAGATGCGTGAGAAAATTACCATCGAGAGTTGAAAGAGAGAAGTTGATTTATTTCCTTTAAAAAAAAATGAATCACACACAAAAGAAATGGGTCGATTGTTTGAGCGCAATCAAAAAGCTCCCACTTATTTTGGGAAGCAAAACCAGATGTCTAAATTCCCAGAGAACTCTTCCAGGATGCTGTTAAGTCGTGTTAGGAAAGCCAGAGCAAGCTGCAAGAGATAAAGGATTTTGACTTCATAACTCGAGGTTAGTAAGTCAAATTATAAAAGAAGAAAAATGAAAATTGCATGCCAAGCTCCCCAAAACCTTACTTGGTGTTTTTTGCATAGGGGAACCTGGGGAGGCAGGGAGGGAGTGGGCAACAAATTCAGACTACAGCAATCCTAATTCTTACAGCGTTTTTTGCTAGTTTCCAAATAACATTTACCTTCTTGTGACTTCCCTGTACTCCCCATCCGTGGAAGTCTGGGAGACTAGTCTGCCACTCAAGTTCTTAGGAAGTAGTCACTAAGTGTATTTTCTCCTGAATGGCATGGTCACTTCCAGTTTATAAGTACTAAGCACACATTGCCAGCCTGCTAAGCAAATGCTTCTCAAGTCTCCCATGTTTCGATGAGTACATAGGAGACAAGCTACCCAAGATCAACACAAAGACAGAACTGAATTCATTCCCCACACCATAACACCAAATAAGCTTCCTTACCTATTAGTAATGGAACTAAGTGAATACTTAATACATATAAGGGCAACTATTTTACAACATAGGAATGGAAATAAGTCCAAGATTGGTATTCAAAAATCTAAAAGGAAAAAATCATAAACTTGATAACAAAATCTTTCCATGGCAAATGTAGTGTAAAGTAGACAAATAAAATGTTATCTGAGACTGATATCACAACTGAGACTGATATTTGAGTTTCTAAAAATAGGACAAAGATAAAACTTTCTTTTTTAAGATGTATTTCACTTGTGTCTGCCTGTGGATGTGTGTGTGTAAGAATGCAGGTGGCCTCAGAGAGCAAGTGCCAGATTCCTGGAGCTGGAGTTACAGACTGTTGTGAGCTGCCTGATGTAGGTACTCAGGACTGAATTGGCCCTCTGCTAGAGTAGTAGGTACATCTCATTAATTAAGTGTGGTATATTCCTTTACACTATGTGAATATATGTTGCTATGATTAGCTTAATAAACAAGCTGGCTGGCAAATAGCTGAACAGAATAAGGTTAGGCAGGAGAGCCAAACTGAGAATTCTGGGAGGAAGAAGGGCAGAGTTAGAGGAAGCAGGGCATGTAGGAAATGTTGTAACAAGCCATGAGCCACATGGCAGAGGATAGATAAGAACTATGGGTTAGTTTTAAATGTAAGAGTTAGCTAGTAACAAGCCTAAGCTATCAGCAGGGTGTTTATAATTAACATAAGCCTCAGTGTATTTATTTGGGAGCTGCTTTGTGACAGAAACTTCTGCCTACATCCTTCCCGTAGAAAAAAACATAAAGCCATATACAATTCATGATCATGGGAATACAGGTGACTCTTACCTATATAGAAAGAGTTCCACTGTATTCATAAGTACAAATTAAAAATTATATTAATGTAACAACTTTCACTAACTGTGTTGGCAAAATTCCTGAAGTTTACAGCACACATTTTGAGACTGGATCTAAGAAAATAGACACTCATTTCTGATGGAATGGAAAAATAATGAAGATAATGAGTGTATTGGTATATATGCCTGTAATTCCTGCACTTAGAAGACTAAAAAGATCACATTTGAAGCCAGCCTGGGCTACATAGCAAGAACTTGATTCACAAAACATGCAACTAAAAAAAAAAAATGTAAAGAGACACTTTTAATACCTAGTAAAATTACATATGCATTTATGCTTGACATAGAAATCTCACTTGTAAAAATTTATCTCAAGAGTTGGGGACATATACAAGCATCAGAACCTGAGTTGGAAGCCTCTCTTCCACCACCAGCAATTAAAAAAGCAATGCACACAGTGTGCACCGGAATTCCCAGCCCTGGGAGCCAGGAGAGGACAAATACTGGTGGATCCCTGAAGCTTATTGGCTGGCCATCCTAGCCAAATTGATGAGTATCAGGAATAAGGAGAGATCCTGTCTCAAAAAATAAGATGGAGGGAGATTGAGGAGGACCACTCAGAGTTGACATATGGCACATACACTTGCATATGCACATGGATACAGAGAAGCACACATATAAACATGAACTGTACACATACATACACTCGTGTATGCACATGAGTGCACACACACGTGAGTGTGCACGTGTGCACACACACACACACACACAGAGAGAGAGAGTGAGAGAGAGAGAGAGAGAGAGAGAGAGAGAGAGAGAGAGAGAGAGAGAGAGAGATCCCCCATCCTTGGTGTTTCTAGTTATTTACACTGAAAAAAATTTTAGATCCTTTTTAAAAAAATGAATAGTGAGAAACCAAAGTGCAGCATTTCACTCCCTTAAGAATATGGCAGCATATTGTTCTTTTAAAATATTTTTGCCACCATGTATTTTGATTATATTCATCCCATCATTTTGTGTTTTTTAAAATATTTTAAATATTGCACTATCAGCAGTGAAGGACAAGGGCAAAGGGGAGAATGAAAGAGAAGAACCTTCTGATGAGAGGGAATTTCTAGGTAGCCATATGATAAACTGAGGCCAGTAGTCCTTAGATGAGCACAGAAATACTAGCATTCCTAGAGGCTGAGGCAGTTAGAGTCTGAGGGAAGGAAGCAGAGAAGAATGTCAGGGGTGTGTGTAAAGGTCTCTTTAAGTCTTCTGGTGAAAGCTCCTCAGCACATGTTATAGGATAAAAAGCTTCAATTCAGGCAAGAACCACTTCTAGGCATAGCGTAAATATCAGGGAGGCCTAAAATGAACAAATCCCACACCTAACACAAATCCAGGGATAACTAGTGCTCCACCCCACGCTCCCTTAGCCAGGGTAGAGACCTCATAGAATACACGGGACATTTGAAAGAGATCCCCAAATACCACAACTTAGAAGTGAAAACAGATCATTCTAAAGGGCATTTTAGGTTAGCTTAAAAACCAGAAAGTTCACCCATAAATAAAGCTTTCCAAAAGTAACTAATTGCTTATCAGAAAATCTAAACTTTGGAAGAGCTGTAACAAGAGTATTTAATGGGCAAAATACATATGACATATAGCAAAGCTCCCAGAACAAAAACAACAACAACAAAATCATGACTCTTAATAAAAAGAAAAATCAGTAAAATACAATCACAGAAATGACTACATGAAATAGCAAAGACTTTAATACAGTTATTAGTTATTGAAAATATAGGAGGCAAGTGAGTGCATGAGCATATTGAAGAGAAAGAACAAACAGAAACAAATGGAATGATATAGAAACAGTTTCTAAAATTTGTTTCTTCATTTTTAGTTTTGATTTTTAGAGTCAGGGTTTCTCTGTGTAGACCTGGCTGTCCTGGAACTCACTCTGAAGACCAGGCTGGCCTCTAACTCAGAAGTCTGCCTACCTCCCAGGTGTTGGGGTCAAAGGTGTGTGATATCA